CAGGACAGAGCTCCTAGCCACACTGAAGACCAATGGCATCAATGAGGAAACACAACAAGCGGTAAGTGGTCCCAACACTGACCAGAAGGAATGAACTTAACACTCAACACCTCAAAGGAGGACTGAGGAAAAGACAAAAACCCTGTAATCCTACCAGCGGACAAAGGGCGGATGACAGTAATCTTAAACAAATGGGACTACCTCACTAAAGCACAGCCGCTACTAGCAGACATAAATACATACTGGCAAGTGCAAATAGACCGCAACTGGGTAATAAAATAAACAACACGCTGAAGGGACTCAAACAGACCGGACAAAAGAACAAAGCAAACTACCTAAAAATGAAACCTGAAGGGACAAACACCCCCACCCCTCTTCCCCCCCCCCCCACCGCCCTAGTTTTTGCTTTTTTTTTTATAGATTCCCTACAGTGTGGAAACGGGCCCTTCGGCCCAACAAATTCACACCGAACCTCAGCATCCCACCCAGACTCATCCCCCTATAACCTATTTAATTTTCTACTGCTTCCTAAAGGTACACAAACTGGAAGTACCCCTCAGACCCATAGTCTCCCTCCCAGGCACACCAACGCACAGATTAGCCAAGGAATTACAACAAAGACTAAAGCACCTCGTCAGCAAATCGCCCCACTCGATCCACTCGCCCCAGGAGTTTCTCAAAGACACATTGGATAAGACCATGGTGTCCATTGACGTTTTCGCCCTAGTCACATTGATTGACATACCAATGGCAAGAGAAACACTAGCAACGCTACTAAAAGAACGAGACTCTCATGACCCAGTCTCCACAGACGACATGCTGAAGTTACTGGACCTGTGCCTCACGACCCATTTTACCTTTTAATGGCCAAATCTATGAACAAATCAAAGGTGACCCCACGGGTGTCCCAATCTCCAGATAATAGCAGAAGCAGTGATGCAGAGACTTGAAAGCATGGCCCTTCTGCACATCTAACCTGAACTATGGATCTGATACGTGGACGAAATTTTCGTCATCATCAAAGGGACTAAACTAGAGGAGACACACCAACTAATAAAGAACACTCTCACCAGCATCAAATTCACCAGGGAAGGGGAAAAAAAGAGCGAACAGCTCCCATTTCTGGACATCGTGGTAGAACGCAGGGGCAACGGGAAATTTCTGATGAAGGTACACAGGCCACACACACACACGGATCAAGTCCTCAATTTCAACAGTAACCACCCCAACAGCCATGCAACTTTGTTTGTGAAAACACTATTTAAACAAGCAACAACACACTGCAGCAACCCGGAACTACAGCAAAACGTATTTAAGGACAACGGAATCCCGGACAGCTGCGCCCGACGATGCCTATCGCACAAACAACAACACGAAGATACAGTACACCCTGACACACCCGTTATATCAAGAACGTATCCGAACTGACCATGAGACTCCTACAGCCATTGGGCATCAGAGTGGCACACAAACCTATGTCAACCCTATGCCAACTGCTAACTCGAACCAAAGACCCCTTACCCACTATGGACAGAACCAATGTGATATACAAGATTCCATGCAAGGACTGCAACAAACATTACACTGGACAGACCGGAAGGGAACTGGCCACAAGAATACATGAACACCAACTAGCAACAAAACGACATGATCAGTACTCCCTCGTCTCCATTCACACGGATCAGGAGAACCACCAGTTCGATTGGGATAAAATCAGGATCCTAGGGCAGGCCAGACAGAGGCAAGCACAGGAATTTCTAGAGGCCTGGTTCTCCACCAAGAAGGCCATCAATATACAAGTAAAATTTAAACCCTATATATACACCACTGCAAAGAAGAACCGGAAATGAGGTACTCCACTCCAACAGACCCCAGTGTTTAAATACCAGGTGGGAAAACACAACAGCGCATCATCAAAGGCTGTGCTGATGTTATCCAGCAGGGTAATGAAACGTCTGTGAATTAACGAACCAGCTCAGCGAGCAAACCAACCACAGCTTTACTCTGGACTGCATAAGGATGTGATTGAGCTTTACTGGACATGCCAGGAAACTGGAAAACCTCCCCAGGCTTGATATCCATTCCTGCATTTGAGGAACCTTTTGACAAGTGTTTTTTTGATTTTATATTTTTTTAGTAGGCATCCTATGCAAAGTGGAAATCCGTATTTGCTGACCATAATGCACTACCTACTAGATGTCCAAGGGCCACTGTGTTACTCCGTGTCAAGGCTAAAAGGATCGTACAAGAATTACTCAACTTTTTTACTAGATACAGACTACCCACAGAAATACAATCAGATCAAGGGTCAAACTTTGATATTTTAAGGAAGTTATGGATAGCTTAGGAATAAAACAATTCAAATCCACTGTGCACCATCCAGAATTGCAGGGAGCATTAGAATGGTGGCATCAAACTTTAAAGACTATCCAGAGGATTGGGACAAAGGAAATCCATTTGTACTTTTTATTAATTAGCGATGCACCAAATGAATCTACCAAATTCAGTCCATTTTTGAATTAGTTTTTGGGCATGAGGTGAGAGGGCCACTGAAATTTAATTAAAGAGAAATCAGTGAGTCAGAGATCAGAGACCACCCATTTGGACGATGTGTCAAATTTTAGGGTTAGATTGAATAGAGTGGGTGAGTTGGCTAGACCGCATTTAACTGTAGCACAGCATGTGATGAAACAAGCAGGCAAGAAATCAAAAATTTACAATTTTTTGCTTGTGGAAATAAAGTATTAGTGTTACTTACAGTGATAGGAGAACTTTTTAAAGACCTGGTTTAGTGGGCTTTACCAAATTGAATAAAAGCACCAGATAGAAAGAAATCTGTCACGTGAATATGCTCAAAAGGTATTTTGATAGGGATGGAAAGCAAAAGGAGAATGGTGTTACTGGTTACAACAGAGTGAAGAACCAAGTTCAGATGACTCTGAATTTGACAATGAGGAAGTTCTCAAATTGGGATAAATTACTCTAATGGAAATGACCTGGAATTAATACAATACAATTACATGGGAAGATGTGTGGGAATAAGCTGGAAAGTTCTAATCTAATTATGCATGATGTAGATATAGGAAATGCTGTTCTAATTATAGAATTAACATTCTAAAGTTGGCACAGGTTCAAAAGGAGATTGAACTCGTGCTGAAAGACAAAGTCAAAGTGAGCTGCAGGGAGTGGACCTCACCTGTGATAATAGTGCCAAAACCAGAAGATGCCCAACGATTATGTGTGGACTATCACAAAGTCAATGCAGTTACAAAATCAGATTCTTATCCTATTTCATGTTTAGAAGATTGTATTTAAAAAGTTGGGACAAGCAACTCGTATTTCTAAGTGGGACTTAATCAGAGGATACTAGTAACTACCTTTGTCCAAAAGACTGAAGTCAGTTTTGGCTTTTTTGACACTGAATGGACTATACAAATTCAAAGTCATGCCATTTGGTATGAAAAATGCACCAGCCACATTTCAAAGACTAACCAATAAAGTCATTTCTGGATTACCCAAGTGCATAGTATACATTGACCTGGTGATTTTTAGTCACCCATGGAAGTTAGTTTTGGAGCATAAAGCAGAATTGTTTGATTTTACTTTGGGAGGTGGGCTTGGTGATAATCCTAGCTAAGAGGGAGTTCGCAAAAGCCTAAGTCCTGTTCCTGGGCCATGTTATTGGAATGGACCAATAACATCATGAGATGCGAAAACAAAAGTTATTGGGGAGTTTCATGTACCGTTGACAAAGAGGGAGATACTATGATTGCTGGGATTGTTTCTTTTTTTGTTTTTTTTGGAGTTTTGCACCAAATTTTAGCAGTCTGGTAGCTCCATTGACTGACTTGAAGTTGCTGAAAATTTCAGTCAACGGAGGAATGTAAGAAGGCATTTGACATACTGTGTTAACCACTGCTCCAGTATTTGCTAATTACTCACCTTTTTAAATGGCTTTGTGTGTCAGCCCTGTACTTTTGCAAGAAGAGGACGAGAAGATAGAAAGCTCTATTGGGTATATTTCCAGAAAACTGTATAATTGGGTGTTGGCCACACAATCCATATGCCACTAGTTCAGAATAAATTTTATTAAAATATTTGTAAATCACATGTATTGCAGTAGATTAATTTTGATGCAACTAAGAAAATTTCACTGTTTTTAGCTAATAACTAATTTTTCTATAACTATACTCCCGTGTGAATCACATCCAGACAAATAAGATTGAGCATGACAGTTGAAAAGTTAATTATCTGAAAGGGGAAGATGACCTACCAGGTAATCCTATACCATTAACAAGATCAATTAGCTTAATTCCATCTAAATCAGATTGCAGTCAATTTAACTATGGTTAGATTTTGATCTGTACTTGCCATTTTAATGACGTACCGAGTTATTTGTTTAGGTAATATTTGATTTTGCAGCTAGTTTGAGCTGGAAGTACATGATCTTACTGCCTTGCTTGTTTTCACTTCTAAAAGCTACCTTGAGAAACTATCTTGGAAAAAGCAATATGCATACTCTTCGTTGTCTAGACAAGGAAGGCCCCACAGTAGTAATTTTGTGGTGATACTAAATCATTCTACTTCATAGTGTGGTACATCTCAGGCTAACACAGAACTTAGCTATCTCTTCTAATTGTCCCTTTTTTTTTTGGCCTGTGCCAAAGAACTGACAACTCTCATCTTCCCACAATGTTGAGAATGAGTTCTTCTATATTACATAACAACAGACAGTGAGGGGTGTGTTAGCTCATTTGGCTGTAAGGCCAGTTTGTACTGCAGAGTGGTGCCAAATGCATGAGTTAATGTGAATCACCCACTTTTTTTTTCTCTCAACCCCCCTGCCTCCGTCATTCTATCTGTTTTCCCCCATCCCACCCTGCCTTGCCCAACCTCCTCTGCCCCATCTTTTACTGTCTACCTGCTAAATGGAAATTAATTGTGATATCAAGTTTTCAATTTTTAAAAGTAGGCACAAATGCTATCTTCTGAAATTTCAGAACAATGAATGTACGGGAGACCCCAAAGGAAGGAAGAAGAACTCTTAGATTGGCTGCATCACTTTCAAGAAACATATCGTATTCCCCTTTGATGCAAAAGGAAAATTCAATGGAAGATGCACCAACCATTAATACAGATATAAAACCAGAAGATTCTACAAGCCTGAATACTTCTAGAAGGAACTTGCATTGCAGTGCCACCACCTCCAGCACCTTGCAGCTCCAAACTGAGAAATCAGAGAATGAACAAGGTTTGCAGATTCCGTTGGATACACTCAGTCCAGGTACAGTATCCGACCAAGGGAGTATAAGTTTTAGAGATTTTATTTGTGCTTATTGTACATAACACAGAAATAGACTATTAATTCTATTTGGCCCACAGTTCAGTTGTGTTTATGCTTTATATGGGCTTCATCCCACATCAGATCCTTCTGTTTTGTGTTCCCCTCCCTGTTGCTCCCACACCCACCCAAAAAGAATTACAAGAGATGGGTTTCATTAAAAATTGGATGGTTTTCCCCTTTATTTGGACATAATGAGGTATTTTAATCTTGCTATTTGGATGACTGGCCATTGTCTGTGAAAGTGTTTGGCAGCAAGAGTTGGGTTTTTTCACAGCATACTTTGCATATACTGATGCTGGAAGGAAAACATCTGAATGACACTGGAAAAAGTAAGGATAGCTCGAGACAAGGCTGTGTGTCTAAGTAAGTGAGTAAATAAATAAATGAACTTCTGGTTATAAAGTGAAAAAGCAAAGGGCTGAATCTTCCCTTTTTGGCTTAAGTGATGATTTCGGTGAGTTTCCTGAACGGTTTCCTCCTGCAATCTGAAGATGGTTCTCATGCATTGTTCTTTTGCTCACTTCAATTATTATGCATTCAGGATCCATGTGTTTTATATTGGCATCAATGTTGTGGTCAGCAGAGACAAATGTGCTAGCTGGTGTTACATCTCTGGTGTTCACTCCAGAACTAGATTGAAACTCCAGCTGTGCAGCGCTTCAAATACTGCATGCCAAGAACTACGCTTCCAAGATTTTTTTTTTATTGCATAATTTCAGTGTGATGGCTGAGACAGGGAAGTTGGCACCCAGATTTGTGGACGATGACCTCTTGCGCTTTGCACAAATTAAGCAGGCAAACATGCTGTAATTATATGGTACACTTTGTAGTGCACTACAGGCTCCTTAACCTTGAACATATTTCCTACCCAGTGTTGATTTACTTTCTGTGCTAAAGAATTGCACAGATTTACCACTCGGGGGAAAAAAAAATCTTCATCTGTCTTAAAGGGGCTGTCCCTTTTATTCTGAGCTATATCTCTAAGGCCGAACTGTGCTCCACTATGGCCCTGGTGAAAGAAATGGGCTGCATTGTATCTACACTGAGCCTTAACTGCTAGCCATGCTTGGAGAGAGTGGCCCTTTGTTTGCCATCAACCATCCTTGTATGGCGTTCAACCCTGAAATGAAGCAGAAATCTGAACATCAAGGATATTTGTAGTCATGACAACTTTAATGGCTGACCTCCAAGATGTGATGGCGATGATCGCAGATGTATTAACATCTGACTGAGTAGACCTCTACTAAATTAATGAATTAAGCTGTGTTGATATGGCATTCTCAATGTCACATGTGCATAGTGCCACGGATGTGGGGGAAGCCAGTAAGTATTTTGGAAAAACCTACTGCTTGGATATTGCACTGACCCATGTCATATGGGAAGAAGATGAATTGGTGTGATCTTACACAAATTGGATTGGTAACAGCCTTGATACACTGGTGATTTTAGGGTTAGGAGATTCCACACATGTCCCCAGTGGATTCTTGGAAGGAGCCAGACCAATAAAAATGGTACTGCTGTAACCTTTAAAGGCACCACAATGGGTGGCTACCCATCAGTCGTATCTGTTTTCTCTCTTCTATTTGGAGTTATCTCCCTTCACAGCCTTTTTTCCCTCTGTGTTTCTGTGAATGCCTCCGGTTTATGCATTTGATTGAAGTGAAGTACAGTGAAAAACTTTGAGCAGTACAGGCAGATCAGTAAGCAAGGATGTACAGATCAAAAAGACTAAGAGGCATTGCACAGGGTGTGTGCTAGGCAAGATCAACATTAACAAGATCAGCATTATTTGAGGCAAGACAGTCCATTCATCAGTCTAATAACGGCTGGGAAGAAGCTGTTCCTAAGCCTGCTGGTGCATGTGTTAAGGCTTCTGTATCCTCTGCCTGATGGAAGAGGTTGTAGGAGATCATTACTGGGTTGCAGTGGGTCTTTGGCAGTCTTTCTGCAGCAGCAAGCAGTGTAAGTGGAGTCCGTGGATGGAAGGTTGGCTTCTGTGATGGTTTGGGCTGTGCATGCCACCTTCTGTAGTTTCTTAGAGTCCTGGACAGAGCAGTTGCCATACCAGGCTCTTATGCACTCATACATTATGCTTTCAGTTGTGCATCTGTAGAAGTTGGTGAGGGTCCTTATGGACATGCCAAATTTCCTGAGCCGCCTGAAGAAGAAGAGGTATTGTGCCTTCTTGACTCCCACATCCTATGTGAGAAGTCCAGGACAGGTTGTTGGCTATCATCATTCAGAGGAACTTGACGCTCTTCTGAACCTCAGTTCTGTTGATTTGTAGATGGGGGTGTGTTCTCCTCCTTGAAATTCCCACTTTGCCAACACAGCACTGTCCCCTGATAACCCCACTTGACAATTTTTATTTCTCAAACTCCCAGACTGGTTTCTGAGGATGACTGAAACCTAATTTCTATAGAGCTTTCTAAATGACTTTAATGTTAGTTCCCAAACGACGTGATGTGCAGAAGTGTCTGCCCCAGTCCTGGACTGGAAGGTCACTTCTCCCTAGACCCTGATTGCACTGAGTGCTGACTGTGGCCAAACTCCTGGATTGAAATTGGATGATGCCCTTTAACTGACTATAGTCTTTTACTATGGACCACTCCCTTAGACTTTGAGACATGGCCATTTGATTTGAAGCACACGCAGTGTGGTTGTCACTTAAGCTGTTGGTGTGAGACTGACATAACAGTGCCTACAGCAAAATGTCACCCAACTCGATTATTCATTGCTAGCAAGCATGATAACTTGCCTGGCTTTCTGTCTGCTCTAAATGGTAGGCCAAAACAGCTGTTGTGAGCCTGTAGGGTCTAATTGAAGCACCAATGCACTGAACAGCCAGGTGTTGAGAGCCTGTAGGTTCTATATGCTGGAAGGCAAGGCAGAGGTACAGTGAGCATCTAAGCAATAGCAAAGTATGTAATCATTAAGAAAGAAGCCTATCGGAGATGCACCCTGTTACACTCTCATTCCATGCATTGAATCCTGCTAGCCTGTTTTGTACGCAAGGAGTATTATTTTTCTTTATTCATTTAAGGAATGAGGGTGTCGCTGGCTAGGCCAGCATTTATTGCCCATCCCTAATTGCCCAGAGAGCAGTTATGAGTCAACCATGTTGCTGTGGGTCTAGAGTTACATTTAGACCAGACCAGGTGAGGATGGCAGTTTTCTTCCCTAAAGGGCATTAGTGAACATGATGGGGTTTTTTTTTCTGACACTTGACAGCGGATTCGTGGTCATCATTAGATTCTTAATTCCAGATATTTTATTGAATTCAAGTTCCACCATCTGCTGTGGCGGGATTCAAACCCAGGTCCCCAGAACATTACCTGGGTCCCTGGATTAACAGCCCAGTAGTAATACCAATAGGCCATTGCCTCCCAAGTGCAGAAGCAAAATGCTGGACTGTATTATTGGTTAGTCTAAGATCAGCCACAATGAGGCTGGTGCTTTGATGCTGACTATGGGTGTAGAGTGGAGCGTGCTTAAAAATGATGATCAACATGGGGGCCCAGAGAATACGCTGGTGAGCTGCAGTTGCTGGATACATGCTCGAACAGAAGTTGGGAGTTGGACTAGTACCTGGGTGAACAGCAACGTGCATATAAATGTGGTGAGATTATCAAATATTGAGATGTAGAATAATGGAGATAAGTTTTTACAGCTTACTAATGATAGGTTCATCCAGCTATTGAAACCTTAAATGGAAAATTGAACATTTTTCTTGATGCCAAATTTCCTTTTTCCATTTGTGCTGCTTTTCCGCAAATTATTTTTTTTTCCCTTTCCATGGTTTGGTAATTTTATTTAGTTTCCTGTACTTTTGAGCATATTCTTCGACTAAGCAGTAGACCAGGTTTGAACTTCCCTCCATACTTACTGTTGCCATCTGCTGCAGTGGGTTTTTTTTTTAATCACTTTACCTGTCCTTCGAGAATACTTGGATAGCAATTTGCATAGCAGCATGGTTGACATCAGTTGAATTCTCATCTTGGAAAAAACTGTTCAATTCTACTTTGCTGTGTAGGCTGTCGTAACATCTGTGACTACCTGTAAACCATGACACTATTTGATTTTTGGCTCTTGACAAAAATTAGCAGTGCTGAAAATTTAACCGGGAATTTAAGAACCGGAAAAGCTAATAAGTATTTAAATATCAGTATTTCTTGACTGGAGTGACACCTGCTTCACCTATGTTCTAACTTTGTATTTCATGTACGATTATCCCGAAGTCCCTTTGCGTTGCAGGTTTCTGGGGATTTTCTCTATTTAAATTATAGTTTTTTTGTTCTCCAATCCAAAATGAGCAACTTCACATTTTCCCACATTATACTCAGTTTCCAATTTTTTTTTTTAAGACCTATCAATGTCTCTGTAAACTGTTTGCATCCTGCTCGCAGACTGCCTTTCCACATTTCTGTCATCCGCAAATTTGGCTATGGCACATTTCCATCCTCCCTCCCTCCCTCCCTCCCTCCAAGTCATTAATATATTTTGAGATATTTGGCAATTGGAATATGACTGCAGGAATTTTAGTAGTTTGGGAATTTGATAATGGCTGTTTGAGATAATCTGGTTGCTCCAGTGTTAGTTGTAAACTCTGTTCTCAATTTTATAAAATGAGCTCTTAAACTGGTGATTATTTAAGTCTTTATTAAATGAAGCCCACTGTTTTCTAGTGCATTTCAGTTCTAAAGAAATCATCTGACTCAATGTTCCTCTCTTCACAAATGCTTGCTAGAGCTGCTGAGTTTCTCCAGTATTTTCTGTTTTTACTTGGGATTTCCCACAAATCTTGACTGCTAAGTTTAACTAATTATAACTAACATTAGTTTTAGATTGACAGAAAATCTGGAGTTGTAATCTATGCTAAATAACTGGATTGAGGGTATTCAATCTAACTGAGTACTTTTTAAGGTGACTTTCTTTTTTTT